AGGAAATGTTTTTCTATCGGTATAGAATTAATGTTTTAATGAATGTTTCTAGTTACTCACGTTTCAACTTTATTGTGACTGTTCGTGAATTTTTATTGCATTGTTTTTTTAGTGAACACATTTTCAACCTCACTGCGAGACTATTTTTCTCATATAAAATTTTACACATATGCATTTATATTATATGTATAATACGTTGTTTTATGTACGCACTTGTTGATTAATTTTTAATACGTTATGTCTTTTTCTTTGTAATGCGCATTGTGCATCTTTTAGAAAATGGAAATGCGCAGTATAAATGCTATTTATTATTATTATTATTATTATTATTATTCAATACTTCAAAAGCTGTGATGCGCGAAAGGAACATCGGGTTTCTAGATCTACGATTTCCGTCGGCTGGTTCACATTCCCCATGATCGTCATCAATTTGCGACGTACTGGAAGTCCGAAGTTTAGCCCACTTTTGTTTTGAACAGATCACCAACAGTGCCTGGATATAATTGTTTTTCTCGAGTGACTTCCCCTTACCCGCTTCCCCTGAACAGCGGATGCAACGGCGGAAAGAGAAAAACGAAAGTAGTCATTGCCGTTGCCGTCAGCGTCCGATGATGCACAAGAATCTTGCGTTGAATGTGACGTACAGGACTGTTTTGTGTGTTTTTAGGCTACCCTATTGAATATTTTAGTGAAATTGCAGTGTTTACTTTGGATTCCTGGAACAAGAGTGTGATGTGCGAACAAACTTCTAGAGAAGTTATTTTTCTCAAATAACTGCCAAACAATACTTTCCGTGCGTTCGCTTGACATGGTACAATTTGATCAAATCACACTAAATTTAGCTGCACAAATTATCATATTTAGTTAAGACTTCAAGCAGTAAATGGTTAAAAAGGTTCAAGAGAATTCGGTTTGCAGCATATATTTTCGCACTGTCGGGGCAGGGCGTGTGGTATTGCTAACTACGGTTTTGGCCCCACCATTCAAGTAGACCTAGATCAAGGTCTACTCTATTACAATTCTAACCAAACTTTTATCCCCCTGCCCCTTTCCCTACATTTAACTCTACCCATAAAATAAAGGTAGCGTCAATTGCCACCGAGTGACGCGGTGGCAATTGACAAAAATTGACTTTGTGTCAATTGCCACCGAGTGAAGCGGTGTCAAGTCTGGAAACACTTTCTTTAGCATTATACATAATGTGTGTCTAATGGGTCAATTTCTTCTCAACTAATTTCATTGGACGAGCATCTAGTCTAGAGCTACGGTACCAACTTGGCGTGTTTTCAATGAGATGTAGGCCTAGATCTAGGCTAGCCTTAGCCCACACTTTGGTGTAGAACAGGCAATTCTAGAAGTAGAAGGTCACAAACGCACACAAACTCAAGCAGAAAAGACACATACACACACACAGAGGGACAGAGAGGCGAACGCACAAACACCGAGCACAATACGCTTGATCTACCCACCAACGCAAAAGAGCTCCAATTTACTCGGCGGCAATTGACACTATGAAAAATAAAAGTTTCTGTTGAGATCCCAGTCAGTCTCCTGGGCTGTCAATTCAGCAGGCTGGCATCTGGATCTACAGATGTCGTCTAGATTTAGCACTCCACTAAATGTGGATTCGGCGCGCATGCGTTTTCTGCACAAAAGCGTGAGTTGACATCTGTGACCTAACGCCTCGTTAACGGAAGGTACGATATGGTCTTCTTTATTGCCACCAAAATACATGTGTTGGCGCCACAGTGGTTACCTTGCGTCTGTTTCACGTCTGTTCATTTCCGATTGTGAAAAATTCTTCAAGAAAGCTTTTTACTGCAGCACTAAAAACTTCCCGGCTTTCGACCGTCAACGCAGTGTATCCTTTGCCTTTGTGTTCCAGCGTACGTCTTGCACTTGTTTCACTAAAATCATGGACCCTTGTGAAAGATTAATTGAAGAGGTGCAAAAGCGGCCAGCTGTATTTGACAAGACAAACGACAATTATTGCAACAGAGTGTATTTGAATAAGCAATGGACTGATATTGGAGAAAAGATAAATTTGTATGGTAAGTGGCATTGTTTTTAACCCTCGTCCTGAGGGGGCCGGGTTTATG